GAATGATAAGATTAGAAAATAAAGAAAATCTTACTATGCGTTTATCTTACTTGTGCTCATATCATTGTGTTCACTAAACGATTAATGCAATAAATGAATGCCAATTTGTCAGAATGAAAGAAAAACGAGGATTCGTTTGTTTGGTGTAAACGTACCAGTGGTGATAAAATTGCAGCTTTCTAGCCAAAAGTAACCAGTTCGATCTTATGTGTTAAATGTCAGATGTTTTTTTCCTCAATTTTCCTCGATTCCTACATATAGATAAAGTCAAAAAAAATCAAGTCAATAATTTTATTGACTTTCCCAAATTTTACCTATTTCGCTAATTTTTCCTTAAATGCTTTATTATATCACTAAAACCAGAGAAATCAATCGTGGGAAATTGAGAAAGTATGGCATCTTTATATGTTTTTTGTGAAAAAGCGAAATATATTATAACTTTAAGAAAAGTCATCTGCCTTCAGCTAGGACAATTCAATAATCAGAGTAATTACCTGTAAAATGGAAAACTACATTTGAGACTCGGTTTAATAAATGAAAATATTGCATTGAAGAAAGATATATGTATACTAAGGACAAGCTCGAAATTAATTTTTAATTCTTGAAACTTGAATCTGAAACTTTGTAAGATTTTGTAAGAAATTCTTGTTTTAAAAATTGGACTTAACACTTGTATAAATTCCTATTGGTCATAATTAAACAAAATATAAACAAAAACATAATAAGATATTAAATATTTAATCCAGATTCTTATTTAGGAACCGAATTTTTTTTTTTTTTTGTCGTTTACAATGACAGATGTATGTAAAAATTTTTCAGAGTATACCATTGACGGTGGCATAATAAGATATTTCTTTGATAATTTATTTAGATTAAATATTTTATATTATTGTTCCAGAATTATGACCGATTGCACACCCGCGATCGCTAGAGATGAATTACTCGAACCCCAAGAAAATTTCAAGCGTTTCATTCAACCGAACGTTTATAAAACATTTTGTACCGAACATACGATGAATGAAATATATTCTTTTCGCGCTGCAAATTGCTCTTTATTCATTAATTTCTATACTCTTCCTTCTTTGAATTTCAAATACCACTTTTATGGGTTTTGAGGAATTTCGAGATTTCAACATTTCGAATAATTCATCCCGGAAGGAAGAATTGAATTTTACGTTGAATACTTTTGTATGTATCCAATTTCGATGTTTAGTTTGGAAGATTTTCATGTAGTGAATAAATAAATAATTGATATTTTATGTGAGTTTTATTTTATTACGTTGTAATTTTGTAACTTTTGATTGTACGGAGTGATTCACATTGCAAACTTGAAATAACTTTTAAATTATACGTCTAATGAAAAATTGTTTAATACAAAAGTTGTATGTTTTTAAGGAAGATAAAATATAGTGTATTAATTTTGTGGATTTCGAAATTTTCAAGATCATCTTTATTTTTTTTAATTGGACCATATATTTTTTTTAATCATAAATCGGAAGAATATTAAATTCTAACTAAAAAAAAATTAAGCCACATTGGTCCTAAACCTAATGGTTAAGATTTTGTATTATATATATATATATATATATATATATATATATATATATATAT